CAAAAATCACTAGTTTTGAAACATGTGACACCGAACAAATCACTAGTTTCGTTACGTTTCTCGAAAATGACGTAACGACTCACGCCTACTGTCTAATGCCAAGTAGAGATGCCATTAGTCGGTAACAGATAATTTGTTAACGAAACGTTAACCAGTAATTTCCCGTGATCGTCGAATCATGAATCGATGACTTGATTGGCCAATTCACTACGTAAAATTAAATTCTGATAAATACGTACAATTAATTAATTTTAAGACATTAGTCAAACAGTAATCTGTGTTTGGATGTTTATTATATTTGGCCGCTTAAGTTAACCATAGTCAAACTGAAAGACGTTTATGCGTTCTTTCCACATCCCTACGATCCTTACTAGTCAAACGTCACACCATAGACCAAAATGACATATTTTGACAATTTGACAAAAACTTGTGTCTGTTGTTAGATTCAGTTTTATAATCAATTTATTTCAGTTGTTTATCAGTATTTGCGTCGTGTTAGATTCAAATTCGCATTATACACAACACGGTGTACGAAAGACTTATGATTTTCCCGTGAACTTTTTAACCAACATCTCAGGATAGCAACTTCAGTCATAATTTCTATTTTACCAAGTATTAAGCTTTAAAATGGGTGGAAAAGCTGAAAAGGGTACTCCTAAGTACATAGCTAATAAGATAAAAGCTAAAGGTTTACAGAAATTACGATGGTATTGCCAAATGTGTCAGAAACAGTGTCGAGATGAAAATGGATTCAAATGTCATACAATGTCGGAATCACATCAGCGGCAGCTTTTGTTGTTCGCTGACAACGCTTCGAGATACATCGACGAGTTCTCCAGAGAGTTTGCTGATGGTTATTTAGAGTTATTGAAGCGTCAGTTCGGAACTAAACGAGTGAACGCTAACAAAGTATATCAGGACTATATTTCTAACAGGTAGCCTAATTGTATAAATTTTAAATAATCGGCGTCAGTTTTAGCATTTTGGGAGGCCTAGGTGAGGATTCTGTGGCGCCTACTAACTACTATACACACAAATTTAGGCATCCTTATATGCACTTATGGCGCCTCTCTTTTCTCTTTATATCCCTTTGTGGTAGGCCCCCCTTAGTGTACTCTAACACTAATATTTTTTATAATACATTACTGCAACTGACAATCTTAAATATGTATCACATTAGGAAGAGAGGTTGGAGGAGATACATTGGGGAAATATCCTCTTTATGTGCATCTCCTCCTCTGTCGGATAAGGGTAGGCAACGCATTTGCAATTGTGGATGTCTATGGGCAGTGGTCGCTTCGCCATTTTGGCGGATTCAGGTGGCCCCTTGCCACCTTTTGTTATAAAAAAAATGTGTGTTTTTTTATAAAGAAAGAATGGAAAAGGGAAAGAACACTTAAAAAAAATTATTGTTAGTTTTAATTTGATTGAAGCAAATACCAATGTGAAACTTACTAAATTATTGTGAAATTCACTAATTTTATTTATAAATTGTTATATTTAATATTTGTTAGAGTTTGTAATCTAAACTACTGAACTCATGAAGTTTGTCACTGATGTAAACATAGTCTTTAAGAACACACATCATCACCAGCACACTATGACCCCACCGAGGAGCCGGAGCCTACCCTAAGTTAGTGACTAGGCCATAGTCAACTTGCACTGCGGGTTGACTTCACACATATCTTTTAATCAAGAGCACATTAAGTTTTATTAATTCCGAGCAGACGAAGTCACAGTAAAAGCTATAACTATATAAAATGTATTTTACATGTTTTAGAGACCATCTCCACATGAATGCAACGCAATGGGAGACTCTCACCGACTTTGTGAAGTGGTTAGGAAGGGAAGGGAAGTGCGTTGTTGATGAAACGGAGAAGGGTTGGTTTGTGGCATATATAGACAGAGATCCAGCAGCTATTGCTGCACAGGAGGCTAAGGTTAAGAAAGAGAAGATGGATAAAGATGATCAGGTATGGTCTAATTTAAAAGAAACATTAATGGTTCTGAGAAATATTGGTTTTAATTTAGGGTTATGTACTAGCTAGCTACTCCGTCCATGTGGAATTAAAAAAAAAACAAAAGTGAGTAGCCTATGCGTTCTTCCAGACTATTCTTACATCTATACCAAATTTAATTGAGATCCGTTCAGCAGTTTAGGCTACAAACTCTAACAAACATCCATCTAAACTTTTGCATTTATAATATTAGTATGATTTACCAAGCAAGAGATGCTTTTTGGTTCCAAAAATATGCCTGTATGCTTCTATACATGTAACAAGTTTCTGAATTTCTAAATTTATTTCATCTACATCCATTTTACTACTATTATAAATGTGAATGTTTGTATGGATGTTTGTACTGCTGAACAAACCTTGATGTAGAGGATAGTCTGGAAGAACACAGGCTATATTTTCCAATTCTATGCAGATGAAGCCCCTCGTATTAGTTAATATATAAGATTGAAGTATCTGTAAAATAGGGAAAAAGTACACATATCCTGAATATAAAATATTTTTTTTCATAAAGTATGTCCATGTTTGTTCCTTGTAATCTCCGGAACAGGTGGACCGATTTAACATTACTTTGACTGGAAGGTAGATAATATATCCAGGAATGTTATAGGCTACTTTTTACGTATGTAATTAACTAGCTGTACCCGTGGGGATTCATCCGCATGAAATTAGAAATGTTATTTTATTGTATACTTCTGTCAAATTCTCAATTGCAAATGTAAAAAATACCAATTACCTCGCTATGGCAATTTTGCTTCCTTGATGTTGGCAGCAATGTATGGTCTCTTTCTCACATTAGGGTTTTTATCCAAAATATTACCCAGTAAGTTTAATGGTGTGAAAATATATAGCCTAAAGTGTGACGTAAATGTAAGGCTTTTTATTTAAAAAATAAATATTCAAAAATATGCAGTGATTGCTAACATCTTAGGCAACAAAGAAGTGTGTGTTTACGCTTTATAATTTCATATTACAGGAAAGAATGTTAGAGTTCATACAGAAGCAAGTTGAGAAAGGAAAGAAGGAGAGGAATGTAGAACCTTCGTATACAGAGTTTAAGCGAGAGAACAGTCAAGAAAGGTTGACATTAAATATAAATTTGAAGAGGAAACCAGAAGGTATAATATTCTACAGATAGAATAGACACTTAATCTATTTTTATTAGTCAAGACATTTTAGTTTTGAGAGTAATAAATCTTACTTCTTATATAAATGTTAGAGTTTGTAAAGTGCTGAATGGATCACAATTATTTTTTTTAATAGACAAAGAGGATATTCTGAAAGAACACATAGGCTACTTACTTTTTTTTTTCAAATATCACATGGACAAAATCGCAGGCGAAAGCTAGTTGAATAATATTTACAACACTAGCTGCTGAATTATTAAAAAATAATTTTATTGTTCACATTTGTCAAATTATCAATTGCAAATGTCAAAATGACATGACATGATGACAACCTTGCTTCCTTGTAGTTGGTCTCTTTCCCACATGAAGGTTTTCCTCAATTTGTTTACTCCCCAGCGTGAAAATATATAGCCTAAAGCGTGTCGTTAGTGTAGGGCTCTTTACTAAAGAAGAATTATTCAAAAATATGCTGTGATTGCTGACATCCTAAGCCACAAAGTAGTGTGTGTTTACGCTTTATTATAATAGTATAGATTATACATCTTTTGGAAGCGGGTATTTTCCCTAAAAAAAAAAAAGCAACCAAGTTTACCAAAATAGGTACAAAACAATGCTGACTTTTTTGTAGAAAAACCTGATGGTCTAACAAAATCAGCGTTACAAGCGCAGAAGACGAAAGAAGAATCTACTAGCAAGAAGAAGAAGACAGAAGAAAGGAACAAACAGAGTGCATTAGACGCTATCAAGGAAATGCAAGAAAAGGCCAGAGAAAGGGCAAACAGGTGAGGGAAATAATTCTTCGGGAAATTTCACATATAGCACATAACACAGCTATACTAATATTATAAAGAGGAAAGATTTGTATTTCTGTATGTATTGAAATAACTCAAAAACTACTGGGACAATTTCAAAAATTCTTTCACTAATTTATCTGTGAGTGACATAGGCTATATTTTTTAATTTCACGCGGGCGAAGTCGCGTGCAATAGCTAGTTTTTAAAAGGGTTCCTTCTTATTGCTCTCAATCTTACATTATAAATGGATGTTTGTTAGAGTTTGTAGCCTAAACCGCTGAACGGATCTTGATGAAATTTGTCACAGATGTAGAATATTCTAGAAGAACACATAGGCAATATTTAAACGCGGATTAAATCGCGGGCGATAGCTAGTGTATTCTCATAATTAATTTTTATTATATTAAAATACAAGCTTTTCCCCGCGACTCCGTCCGTGTGTAATTACTATTTTTAATGTGAATGGATGGATGTTTGTTAGAGTTTGTAACCTAAACGACTGAACGGATCTCATACATGTAGAAGATAGTCTGGAACACAGGGTACTTATTTTGTTTTTTAATCTATACTTAATATTATAAAGAGGAAAGATTTTTATTTTTGTATGTATTGAAATAACTCAAAAACTACTGGACCGATGTCAAAAATTCTTTCACTAATTTATCTGTGAGTGGCTTAAGCTATTTTTTATTTTATGCGGGCAAAGTCGCAAGTAATAGATAGTTAAAAATAAAGTAAGCAATCTGTGTTCTTCCAGATTCTCTACATCTGTGACAATTGTCGACATCTTTCAACAGTTTATGGAAACCTGAAATCTAAACTTTCGTATATTTATTAGTAAAATTGTTCCTTACAGGAAAGATCATTGGTTGACTGAAGGTATTATAGTAAAAATAGTAACAAAGAGTCTCGGAGATAAATTCTTCAAAAGGAAAGCTGTCATCGAGAGAGTTGTCGAGAAATATGCAGCTCATGTTAAACTGGTCGATGATAATGTCAAATTGAAACTTGATCAAGTGAGTACATCACTTCCATACATCTTCCATACAATCCATACATACTTTGTCCATACATTCTCATATTTTAACTTTTATCATGATGGTAGTCTTGTATCAAAGCCAAGGCTCACAAAGGGCTGTAGAGCTACAGAAGAAGAAGAAGAAGTCTTTTATCACTTCCTCTAGCTTCTTCTCTTATTAAATTTAATTTTTCTCTACTAATATAAAGATTTGTATTTTTGTATGTTTTGAAATAATTTAAAAACTCGGCAGATTTCAAAAATTCTTTCAACATTAAAAAGCTATCAGTAAGTAACATACGTTTTGTTTTTTATTATTTTTTTTAATTCATAATCTAATTTTTATACTTATTATAAACTAGCTATTGCTCGCGACTTCGCCTACGTGAAATAAAAAAACAGTAAAAACATAGCCATTACTTAGTCTAAGTTTTAATGATCAAAGAATTTTTGAAATCGGTTCAGTTTTCCAGTTTTTTTCAATAAATACAAATCTTTCCTCCTTATCTTTATATTAGTATTAGCTTTCGCTCCCGTCTGCGTAGAATTTAAAAAACAAAAGTAAGTAGCCAATGTGTTCTTCCAGACTATTCTCTAAGTGTTTACTAAATTTTATCAAGATCCGTTCAGCAGTTTAGGCTACAAACTCTAACAAACATCCATCTAAACTTTTGCATTTATAATATTAGTAAGACAATGTTTATTTTTACAACAGAATCATTTAGAAACTGTGATACCGTCAAGTGGTCGTGTCGTGAAGTTTGTGAACGGAGCCTACAGCGGACAGAATGGAGTTTTGAAAAATATCAATGTTGAAGAATATTGCTGTGATGTGGAGGTGATAATCTTTAAAATATATACTAAACTAACTGCTACTTTTCAATATAATTTAGCAATAATAATATACTTTAGCAAGCCTATGTTACTTGCAGATGAATTACCTTTCTAACGGTGAAAGATTTTTTAAATCGGCCCAGTAGTTTTTGTACCGAATACATACAAAAATACAAATCTTTCCTTCTTTCCTATTGGCTTGTAGTTTATGTCCATGTCCTACAGAGTTGGTTTCTCCTTTTTACTTACACTCTAAGTGTAATAGTGTTAAAATATATAGCCTGTAGCGTGTGACAAGTCTAGAGGTTTTAATTTATACATCCTACATAAAGTGTTAACCCTTAATCAAATGGATTTTTTTTTAAAATAAAATTATGAATTAAACATGGTTTCTAGGTAAAAGGGCTTTGTAGATTTCGAAAAAAACATCATTTTTTTTATAAAAAGAGGGGAAATGGGGGTTTTACGGTGGGAAATTATTTCCCATTATCCAGCATGGAAAAGCAAAATATAATTAAGTGGGAAATTATTTCCCAATATTTGTATAAGGGTTAACCCTTTCATAATTTTCAGATATCAGCGGGGCCGCTTTCAGGTCGGCTGGTGAAAGGCGTTCAGTATGAAGATATAAGCAAACTGGCTTCATAGCGAAATATAATTTACACAATAAATAAGTTTATTTTTAATATGTCGTTTTTTTTAACACTCTTTAGACTGATTCTAAACCAGTGCCGCGGCACTTGTGTGTCGCTAAATTTTTCATATTTTTAACATAAATTATTTATGCAGTGTGTTGTAAGTAGATAATTATCTTTTTTTTGTTTGTCAAATTTTGTAATCTTTAAATATGTGGCGCAAAAAAGGTTGAGAATCACTGCTTTAGACTATAAAATTAGGTGGTTGTCTTGTTTTTAGAAGACAGTTAAAAAAACATAGACTAGACTTAGGAAAATATTTTTTTATTGGTACTTTGTACGGTACTATCTTAATGATTATGCGAAAAGTTTGAAGTGTCAAATATGCTTACTGTATATAATTTTTTAATAGACTAGCTTTTCCGCCCGCGACTTCTTCCGCGTGAAATTTAAAATAAAACAAAAGTGAGTAGCCTTGGTTCTTCCTTGTTATCTACGTCTATACCAAATTCCATGGAAATCCATTCAGCAGTTTAGGCTACAAATTCTAACAAACATCCATATAAACTTTCGCATTTATAATATTAGTAAGATTTTTCTAAATGATATTGTTGGTTATGTTTGTGATTTTTGACAAAAACTTTTTTTTGGAAAAAATAAGCGTAAAAACATCAATGGTAATGATTTTTTTCAATGAAATTTGGAAATCAGAAGGTAAATAAAACAAATATCTGTTTAAATATTTAATATTTATTAAAAAGCGATTTCTAACTTTTATTATCAAAAAAAAAACTCATACAATCTAAACAGCATAAACGATTCATACATTTTTATGGAAATTTCCAAATAATTTGTATGTAGAAAGCACCTAAAATTGCACATTACAAAATTTTATAGAATTTTAATACAAATTTTCATATATTAAGTAAATATATTCCAAAGTATGAATATTTATAAAAAATCTGATTTTCAGCACCAAGGTAAAGACACATTATAAAGGCATTTACGAGGTTAAAATAAGACAGCTATAGATGTATAATCTATAGATGGAGTGTGTCATAAAACTGACATTTACAACCTTACAAATAAACGCGGTATAAAAACTTAGGAATAAAAATTTGTACTAATATTTGCTTATACTCAGTTTATTCCTAAGTTTTTACCGCGTTTATTTGTAAGGCTGTTAGAATACATTTTGGATAAAAATCCACTAAAACTCCAATGAAAGGCGTTTGAAAGATTTTTCCCGCCTCTATGCTTTGGATCAGTGTTGCCAATGAAAATTTTTTCCCCGCCCGTTTATTTTGTTTTGCATAAAAAAAAATCATTGTTAACACCAGTAAAAAAGGAAACTCTTCAATATTAACGAAATGTCGCTATTTTAACGTTTTTAATATTAAACTTTGAAGAGAAAGATTTGGATTTTTGAATTTCTGGATGTATTCACGTAAAAACTACTGGGTCGATTTCAAACTCTTTCACCATTAGAAAGGTAATTTATCTGAGAGTTACATAGGGCATGGTTTTTTAATATTTTTTTAATTTCACGCGGACGAAGTCGCGAGCAACAGTTATATAAAAGCCTATATTATTTACTTGATTTTCGTTATTCTAGGTACAAAAACTTTAATCAACGATTTTTTATTTGTTATTTAAAAAAATTTTTGCAATTTTATGGTTCGAAAACAAGAACATTGGCAACACTGCTCCGGATTAGATATCTATAGATTATATATCCTAGCATTGTCTATGGCAGGATTTTAGCTTTGGATATTAAACATTTCATATTTCAAAAAGGACTAAACTAATTTTTTATTCAATAAAAACTCGCTAAACTATAAAAAAACCGAGTAAACTTCTTTGAAATTCATTCGAAAACAAAAAAACATACTTAAAGTAAACTCTAAAGTTACAAAAAAACGTATTAATTGTTAACATTTCGTATAAAATTGCGAATAAAATGCGACATTTTCATTTGGTAAATACAATATTTTATTAAATTAATATTTGTGATGTTTTGAAATAAAAAATCCCAAACTAAAAATGTCACGCGTCATCCCAACTGTCAAAAAATGGCGGCAAAACTAACGGTTTTTTTTTTCGTTCGTAAATAAGTACAATACTTACAGACTATATAAATGTTAAAAAATCCACGAAAAATGCTCTGTTAAATGTATTTCTCTATAAACTATTAAATAATATATTTAAAATTACAATTAAATGTGCATGTTACGTATAACTGTGGGTTTACGTTGAAAAAAATATAAAAAAATGCAATAGAAACGAAAAATTAATAAACTAATTTAATAATTTTACCTTTAAACTCTGTAAATAGATTTTTAAAAACAAAAAACAATGAACTTATAAATAGATAGGCTATAAACTTAACCTATTTCTATTTGATTTTCGCTTCTAGTTTGTTTCTATCCGAAGAGTTTTCGAATTCATAATAATTATAGATTTAACTGGAATTAACATAAAAAAAGCTTTTAAGAACCGATCTATTTCTTTATATCTATGACTGAAACTACAAAATCCATAGAAAATAAATTACATGTATCTAATTTCTCATTTCTTTTGAATTAAAAAATTACATCCTTAAGTTAAGTTTTGTGTATTTTTTTTAACAAACAGTATTAAAAAAGAATTAATATGTTTCAAACATAATTTATATCTATAAAAGTATGATAATGTTGCCCACAGTATTTCCTTGTCCGGTGTTGCCCTACTTCAGCAGTTTCTCCTCCTCGGGGTTGCCATCTTTGTTCTTGAACGTGGAGTTTGTATGAGGACTGGCGGATGTTGGTAGAAACTGGAAAATATATGAATAGATTAACTTGAATATTACAAAATGTACTTGAAATTAAGTGGTTTATAAGTACTAATAAACGTTAGCTGGCCTAACACGAAATTTTTTTTTTTTATCACATAAGGTGCAAACGAGCAAGCGGCCACCTGAATCCGCCAAAATAGCGAAGCGACCGCTGTCCATAGACAGCTGCAATTGCAGATGCGTTGCCTACCCTTATACGACGGAGGAGACGCACATAAAGAGGATATTTCCCCTTCCTATGCATCTCCTCCACCGTCAAATCCACTTCCCCTTCCCAACCTCTCCTTATAAGAAAAGGGTGGTAAAGAGAAAGGGACTTAAATTAGGTCTCCGGCACCACACTCATCAGATGAAACACGGAATTGCTTCCACTTCACGCCTGTCTTCTGTGAGGTCGTGGTATTACTGGGGGCGAGCCCTGCACTGCTAACATGTTAAAGCGGGCACTACCAATGTTAAAGTTACGACAAAGTATTCTTGTTTTGGTACTAAGTAGACTAGATTAGGTTCTATAATTAAGGGGGAGATAGATTTTTTCTAAAGAGAAGAATATTTTAAGTTATTATTACTGTTTTTTATCGATTTAAGTATATTTTTTAAATACAATACAAACCAAAATACTTCATATTCCTTTAGAAATGTCCGATTTCTAAGCAGCATGGAAGAATAATGATAATTTATAATACAAATATGAAAATCCATACTTATTAAAATTAAAAATACTGATTTTTTTTTTCTTCATTATCTTCTTCATTGTGCAATAATATATCAAATATTTTATTGCACAATTTAACATTACATTAAAAAAATTGATTATAATACTGCAAAGAAAATTTTGTAATATATGTAACTAATGAACTCAAAAACTACTGTAGTTTTTTCGAAAAATCTTTCACCCTAAGAAAGCTCAATTATTACTAAATGAATATATTTATTACTAGCTGTTCCCGTGCGACTTCATCCGCATGAAATTATGAAAATTTTATTTTATTGTTTACATTTGTCAAATTATCAATAGCAAATGTCAAAATGACATGACATGACAATCTTGCTTCCTTAATGTTGGCAGCAACTTATGGTCTCTTTCCCACATTAGGGTTTTTATCCAAAATATTTACCCCCAAAGTTTAATTGCGTGAAAATATATCCTAAAGCATGTAAGTGTAGGGCTTTTTATTAAAGAAAGAATTATTCAAAAACATGGTGTAATTGCTGACATCTTAGGCAACAAAGAAGTGTGTGTTTACGCATTATAATAGTATAGATTATTTAACTCAACGCAGACGTAGTCACGAGTAAAAACTAGTACAAAATCAAATACCTGTTTCGGCAATCTCTCATGTTCCGGGATATCCTCCATTTTGTCACCGTCACGAAGCAACTGAAATAAAAAAAGGTAATCTTACTAATATTATAAATGGATGGATGTTTGTAGCCTGTACTGAACGGATATCAAAGAAAGTCATAGATATATAGAATCTGGATGAACACTAATTTTGTTTTTTTTTTTTTTAATATCACGCGAAATCGAGGGAAAATGTTATCTAGTTATATCAAATCTTACTAATATTATAAATGCGAAAGTTTAGATGGATGTTTGTTAGAGTTTGTAGCCTAAACTGCTGAACGGATATCAAAGCAAGTCACAGATATCCTGGATGAACACAGACTAATTTTGTTTTTTTCATTCCACGCGAAGTCGCGGGTTAAAGCTAGCAATACCACATTATACTAAAAACGCCTGAACGGATTTCGATGTAATTTATAGACTAGTTGTTCGAGACTTCGCCCGCGTAAAATTAAAATAATAAAATTAATCATAGCTTATGTTACTTACTGAAAATATAGCTTTTTAATGGTGAAAGAATTAAAATCGATGCAATAGTTTTTGACTTAATACATAGAAAAGTACAAATCTTTCCTTTTTATAATATTAGTATAGATAGTCTGGAAGAACACAGAATACTTTTTTTTAATTCTACGCAAAGTCACGGGTGAAGGCTAGTTTAATAGTTTTTAGTACTTTTCCTATATCGCCTTTTTAGGAGATATTGTCTTATATATATTCATTTTTAGCGAATTTTAAATCTTACTAATATTATAAATGCGAAAGTTTAGATAGATGGATGGATGGATGTTTGTTAGCGTTTGTAGCCTAAACGGCTGAAGGGATCTCTATGAAATTTGGCACCGGTTTAGAGCATAGTCTGGAAGAACACATAGGCTACTTTTTATCCCGGGAATAGTTACGGTTCCCGTGGGATTCATTAATATGAAATAAATAATGAAGTATGCAGAATTATAATAATTATGTTCTAGAACCGGTCTGAAAATCTTTCAATTGAAATTATTTTCAGAATTTTCTTCTATGTTTTTTTTTTGTAAAAATGAAACTTTTAAATGGACCTGGACATTTAACTTAGTGGCTCTTAGAATAAATAGCCTTTCCCTATCGATATATTTGAAACAGTTTTTATGAATAATACACTTACCTTGTCGACTTCAGGTTCGATTTGTTCATTAGTGTTGCCCTTAGTGAGTGCGCCCTTCTCCATTAGTGTAGCGCGTTTCGCCGCCAAGTACATTGACCTGAAATAATTAAAAAAGTTTAACAGTAGCCCAGCAATACCACTATAATACAGAAAGGTGTGAAGTGGACGCAATTCCGCGTACACTCTGATGTGTGTGGTGCCGGAGACCTAATTTTAGTCTCATTTTTGAATAATTCTTTCTTTAAAAAAAGTCCTACACTTTCACGCTTTAGGCAATATCATCATCACCAGCTCACTACATGTCCCCACCGAGGGGCTCGGAGCCTACCCTAAAGTTAGGGTGACTAGGCCATAGTCAACCACGCTGGCTTAGTGCGGGTTGGTTGACTTCACACATATCTTTGAATTTCTTCGCTGATATGTGCAGGCATCACGATGTTTTCCTTCACTGTAAGAACGTCGGGTAAATTATGTACATATGAAAATTCGAAAAATCGAAAATCACATTGGTACATGGCGGCAGGATTCGAACCCAAAACCTGTAGATTACAAGTCAAGTGCTTAAACCACTGAGCCACCGACGCGCTTAGGCTTAGGCAATATATATTCACGTTATTAAACTTAGTGGGTAAATAAATTGGAAAAACCATCATGTGATAAAGAGACAAAAACGATAAGCTGACATCAAAGAAGCAAAATTGCTCAGTATATATATGTATTATCTATGATTGCTAGTACAGTGTGTCTAAATAATTTAGATTAGTTTGACAATTCACTTCAAATTAAGTAGGGATGGGTTGTGTAAAATCAGTCATGAATCTTATCGATTTTCGATTTTTATTCTTATAGTTGGAATCGATAGATTTATAGTTATAACTTATGAAATAAAAAAACACTGTTTTCTCAAATTAATAATGACTATAACAAATCATGAGAGTAAATAGATGTTTATTACTACTACAGCTGTACGTAATTGAATTGGATTTCGCTATTATTTCTGTCATCGCTAAATTCTCTACACTATAATCAATACTAAAATTGTCCTCTAAATTAGTTAGGAAATAATAATTTTTGTTGAGTTTGATAAATATTTAAACCGAATATCGATAGTTCACAATTGTTCGCTGTGTGTTTGTTTCGTCACTACGATACCTGTCTATTAAGTACGGCATTTGCCTTCATACAAATTGAATTCCATACTTCATGTGCCTCATTTATCAAATTAATCTATCTTATTTAGACAAAGTATAGTAGTAATTGTTATCCAATATCAAGAGCTTTGTTGTCATTTGTGAATTTAAATGACATTTGGAATTGTGGATTTCATAAACGTACATAAAAAAATTTTCATATACACGAAATTATAGAACCTTTATTTTCTTGTTTATATTTGTCGAATTTGCAATAAGCAATATGCATATGACGCCAAATTGTACCAAACTTTTTTTAAGTATACTTTATTACTATAAAAACAGTCCTGCAAAGATTTTTTTAAATATAGTGTGATTTAGTGGCAAAATTTAATCATTAAAAATGTCCTTTTTTTTTTTAAAATACATGCATAATACCTATTCCAAGGTCAAAATTACCATAACCTTGGTTTCTTAATGTTGTCAGTTTATGGTCTTGCCACATGAAGGTTTTTTACAAATTATTTACTCCTTAAGTTTAATAGCTTGAAAATATACAACTTAAAGCATGTAAGTGTAGGGCTTTTTATTAAAGAAAGGGTTGTTAAGAAATGTGCTGTAATTGCTGACATCTTGGCAACAAAGAAGTGTGTGTTTACGCTTTATTAGAATAGTATAGATAGATATATAAAAGCCAGCCAAATGGAGACAAAATAAGTTTAAAAAGAAGATAAAATGATTGTGTTACCGTTTGATAGTAAGATAGTATAGTTCGGCGATGGCGCGCACGGAGTAGTCGGGCACGAAGGTGTGTCGCAGCATGGAGTCCATGTTCAGGTTCTGCAGCGAGCCCAGCGTCGATGGAGCTGGAGTCTCCGCTGGGAAACATTATATTATAAACTAGCTTACGCCCGCGACTCCGTCCGCGTCGATAAAAAAAGCAAGAGGGAAAAGCCCATGAGTTCTTCTAGATCCTCTACGTCTAAGTCAAATTTCATTAAGATCCGTTCAGCGGTTTAGGCTACAAACTCTAACAAACATCCATCCATCTAAACATTCGCATTTATAATATTAGTATGAAGTATGATATCGTAAGATGTGGAAGTTTAGATGGATGTTCGTTAGATTTTTAGCCCAAAAGGTTGAACGGATTTCGATGAAATTTGGTATAGATGTAGAGGATAGTCTGGAAGAACATATAGGCTACTCAATTTTGTTTTCTTTTTTAATTCCACGCGGACGGACTCGTGGGTGAAAGCTAGTATCTATATATTTTCAACGAAGAACAGCTATTTATTACAAAGTAGATTTTTTATAATATAAGCAGCTGCTAATTTTCATTTCACGTCTTGTGAGGTCGAGGTATTGCAGAGCCTACAGTTAATTGCGGAGGCCCAATTTTAGTCGCTTTTCCTTCCCACATACCCTTTTTAAAATTTCAGTAAACAATGGGAAGGGAACGTGGAGACGCATTGGAGGGGGAAACATCCTCTTTGTGTCCTCCGTCGATTAAGGGTAGGCAACGCATCTGCAGGCAAATGTATGAGTAGTCGTTTCGCCATTTTGGTGGATTCAAGAGGTCCCTTGCTCGTTTGCCTTATGATACAGCAAAAACGTTTGTACTGAATGTCCATTATCCTGTCCAATTAGGTAGTGTGAACCTTTAACAAGATAACTACGTCGTAGTCTTTGACTCCAAAAATCAAACAAAAAAATGGGACCCACCTGCAAGCATTACCTTTCGGATAAAAAAAGAATTATCAAAATCGATCCACTAGCGGCGGAGTTATGCCGTAACACACATAAAAAAAAATATACAGACGAATTGTGTACCTCCTTCTTTTGGGAAGTCGGTCAAAAAATTGTTTTTAGAGCTTACCAACGCCAATATTCTGTGTGAGTGCTTGCACACCGAAGTACGTGAAAGGTCCCGCTTCGAATACGAGGTTCTCTCTGCCCACTGTCACCTCCACACGACCTTCCAGGATAAGTACGAAGTAATCCACCTGTTGGGGAAGTATTTCAATAAAAGTGCAAGAAATATAGTTAGTAAGAATATTTTACAGTGGTAGTGCCCGCTTTAACATGTTAGCACTGCAGGGCTCGCCCCCAGTAATACCACGACCACACAGAAGACAGGCGTCAAATGGAAGCAATTCCGTGTACAGTTTGATGAGTGTGGTGCCGGAGACCTAATTTAAATCCATTTTTCTTTACCGCCCTTTTCTTATAAGGAGAGGATGGGAAGGGAAAGTGGATTTTACGGAGGAGGAGATACGTAGGAAGGGGAAATATCCTCTTTATGTGCATCTCCTCCTCTGTCGGATAAGGGTAGGCAACGCATTTGCAATTGCGGATGTCTATGGGCAGCGGTCACTTCGCCATTTTGGCAGATTTAGGTGGCCTCTTGCTCTGCTTGCGTTTGCCACCTTTTGTTATAAAAAAAAAATATAGATTTATTTTATTACTAGCTTTCGCCCGCGACTCCGACTACTAGCGTCCGTCCGAATTAAAAAAAACAAATGCAAGTATGTGTTCATTCAGTCAATCCTCTTTATTCATCTAAATCCGTTCAGTAGTATAGGTTACAAACTCTAACAAACATCCATCTAAACTTTCGCATTTATAATATTAGTATGATTGTTGTTACTGGATGGCAGATCTATTCAAAACTTCTGAATTCTCCTGTATCATTTTTTTTCTTGTGCTATTGTACCCCAATATATGAAAAAAAGTTACTCTCAATAACTTTGAGAATAAAATCGGGCAACACTAGATTATTCCATAGACGTCCCAACCTGACAGCTGTCAATGTCATTTGAAGTATTGGAATCGCGCCTTTCTGATGGAAGATTATGAGCTGACTCTCTGATTTAATTACGTTGTTACAGTTATATGTCTTTAAAAATAATTAGTCGAGCATAAATTACTTAACTACATCAGTCGGGCAAACACATTACCTTCATACGTTAAACAGTAGGCAACAAACTAATAAGTCGGGTAATCTTTACCCTTCCGAGTAATTCAAATACAAATATCCTTTATGAGTCAGTCGAGCAAAATATTATTATTACTAAGTAGTCGGGCAAAAACATAACCATCCTTAGTATGTAATGTGTAATGTAACTACATTCGTAAGTTTTTTTTTTGTTATTTCATTATCTGCAATCAGTCTTTAAAACTTTTAGCGAATGTGAGGAAGGATTAAGTTTTCAGAACATTTTCTCCATCGAGAAACTTCATTCGTAAGTTTAGTGGCAAAAATTACTCTACAAAATATTAGTCGGGCAAATAAGTACCGTAGCAAATACTTTGGGCAAAATTAAACCTACTAATTAGTCGGGCAAAAACATAACCATCCTGAATATGTAATAAACTACCTTCGTAAGTTTAGTGAAAAAATTACTCTACAAAATATCAGTCGGGTAATCAATACCCTATCAAATACATCGGGCAAAATTCAACCTACTAATTAGTCGGGCAAAAGCATTACCATCCTGAGTATGTAATAAACTACCTTCGTAAGTTTAGTGAAAAAATTACTCTACAAAATATCAGTTAGGAAATAAGTACCCTACCAAATAAATCGGGCAAGGTTAAACAAACTAATTAGTCGGGCAAAAACATTACTATCCTTAGTATGTAACAACTACCTACATAAGTATAGTAGAAAAATTACTCTACAAAATATCAGTCGGGTAATAAATACCCTACCAAATAAAACGGGCAAAATTAAACCTACTAATTAGTCGGGCAAAAAAATTACCATCCTTAGTATGTAACAACTACGTTCGTAAGTTTAGTGGAAAAAATATTAGTCGGGCAAAAAATACCCTACCAAATCAATCGGGCAAAAGCAACTTACCTCTATACTAAACTGTATCCCGTATTCTAGTGGGGTTCTTTCATGGTCAATTACAAAAAACCTACAGCCATTGGGTAAAAAACTCTCCGGAGGTAGGGTATAACTTACCGGTTTGCCCTCCTGGAAGACGTAGCGTTTCAGGTCGTTCTTATCTTCATCCCCACGCAGCTTAATGTGGTGAATAACATCTTGCTTCAGTAGACGACGGAGCACCGTCTCAGAGATCATGTCCGCACGGAATGCGTCCACACCTACAAGTTATAGACCATCTATAGATAATTTCTTCATCTTTCTTCTTCTACGTAGTGATGTAACAAGTATTTTTTTTTCAAATAACTCTACCATACTTCATCTCACTCACTCCCTTTCGTCATGTCACCTTTCACGCAATCCATCTCTTTCTATGTCTACCTCTACCGATGTACCTCCACACTCATAACTAACGTCTTTGCTACATGCGATTCATCCCTCCTCATAACATGCCCCCATGCTAACCTTCTACCACTGGGGCTACTCTCAAACTTCCTCTAATATACGCATTTCTGCCATATGTCCTTTCATCCGTCCCTTTTACTGCCAAACATTCAGATCGATACATCATGACAGGTTTTACGCGTCTTTTCTCCGTCCGCGTGAAAAAAAACCAAACGTAAGTAGCCTATGTGTTCTTCCAGAGTATCCGAATTTCATCGAAATCCCAGCAGATTAGGCTACAAACTCTAACAAACATCCATCTAAACTTTCGCATTTTATATATCCCGACTGGAATATCCTGGGATATTTTAAATAAGTGTGGATGCGGAGATGTAAATGACCTTGAATTGACATTATAAAAGACTAGCTGTTCCTATACGGCTTCACCCGCATGAAAATATTAAAATTTTATTGTGTTACATTAGTCAAATTATCAATAGCAAATGTTAAAATAACATGACATACCATTGCAATCTTACTTCCTTAATGTTGGCAGCTTGTAGTATATGGTCTCTTTCCCATATTAGTTTTTATCCAATTTATTTACCCCCTAACTTTAATGGCGTGAAAATATATAGCCTAAAGCATGACGCAAGTTTAGGGCTTTTTATTAAAAAAAGATTTATTCAACAATATGCTGTAATTTCTGACATCTTAGGTAACAAAGAAGTGTGTGTTTACGCTTTATTATAATAGTATAGATTGGATACTAACTAGTGCTGAGGAACTGGAAGGTGGCGAGCACGAGCTGTGGAGACACGTGCACTCGGTGCGGTTGATGACCAGCGAATGATGCTAGATCCTGGAATTTATTGAGGGGACGAGCTAGTCTCTTCTTAGTGCGGTTGTCACCTGAAATATAACGTCAAATATAGCAGATAGGAATACAGTTTTTGTTTAACAAAGGTTAACACGAGTCGATATAATGAAAGGGTTTATACCCGGTATGTTCGCAGTGAAGCAATAAGGAATTCACAGCTTGAAAAACTATGAAATACTAGATGTTCCCGTGCGACTTCATTCGCATGGAATTATGAAAATTGTTTTATTGATTACATTTGTCAAATTCAATTGAAAATGTCAAAATATGGCAATTTTGCTTCCTTGATGTTGGCAGCAACTTATGGTCTCTTTCCCACATAAGGGTTTTTATCAAAAATATTTACCCCCTAAGTTCAATGGCGTGAAAATATATAGCCTAAAGCGTGACGTAAGTGTAGGGCTTTTTATTAAAAAAAGAATTATTCAAAAATATGCTATAATTGCTGACATCTTAGGCAACAAAGAAGTGTCTGTTTACGCTTTATTATAATAGTATAGATTAGCTTTCGCCCGCGACTTCGTCCGCGTAGAATTTAAATAAACAAAAGTGATTAGGCTGTGTTCTTCCAGACTACCCTCTACGTCTATACCAAATTTCATCGAATTTCAGCAGTTTAGGCTACAAACTCTAACAAACATCCATCTAAACTTTCGCATTTATAACATTAATATGAATACTTAGTACTCTTGCGTTTGCCTATCAGAAGTAATTAAAATAAAGGTTTTGCCATTGGCTAACGTTTGTTAAGGGAATAAGTAGTTCAGAATCAATGGTCTTTTTTATATAATAGGTGGCAAACGAGCAAGCGGCCACCTGAATCCGCCAAAATAGCGAAGCGACCGCTGTCCATAGACATCCGCAATTGCAGATGCGTTGCCTACCCTTATACGACGGAGGAGACGCACATAAAGAGGATATTTCCCCTTCCTATGCATCTCCTCCAGCGTCAAATCTTCCTCTTCCCATCCTCGCCTTATAAGGGATGGTAAAGAGAAAGGGACTTAAATTAGGTCTCCGGCACCACACTCATCAGACTGTACACGGAATTGCTTCCACTTCACGCCTGTCTTCTGTGTGGTCGTGGTATTACTGGGGGCGAGCCCTGCACTGCTAACATGTTAACGCGGGCACTACCACTGTAAACCTGGTATCGTAGTCATACTTACTTATAACGTCAGTTTCGTCTACTATCTCAGCCTGGATCATCTCTTCTATAACATCCTCTAAAGTCACCAAGCCAACAGTCTCGTACACTGGATCTCCGTCTCCTTCTTCAATACGCTGTACGAACGCCATATGACCTTTGTGACCTTCAAACAGAAACAATCGAAATATAGGAAAATAACTCGATTTGCTTATAACTTTAGGTGTATTTTTAAATAATAGAACAAACTCTATCGTTGTAACATCCGTTCTGTTTATTTATGTTATATGAAATATGTGATACGAAAGAATTCAGAGGTTCAGTAAGGTTAGATGTTGTTGGCAAAAAATTGGCATTTGTATATATATAGAGAAAAAAAAGAAAAATATATACATTTCTTAGGGATACACTGTGACTTTGTTCGATAATATGAAGCAATTAGTAAGAAAGAAGACTTAACTATAACGGACTATGCCACGAAAATAGATTAAACTAGCTTTCGCTCGCGACTCCGTCCGCGTGGTATTAAAAAAAAAACAAAAGTGAGTAGTGTTATTCCAGACCATCCTCTACGTCTATACAGAATTTCATCGAAATCCATTCAGCAGTTTAGGCTACAAACTCTAACAAACATCCATCCATCCATCTTCATACTAATATTATAAACTTTCGCATTTATAATATTAGTATGAAGTATGATTGTTGAACTAGTCCAAGATATCTAAATAAACAGAACAGACATTCGGTAGCAGACAAAAAAGGTATTTTTACAAATACCCCCCTCTTTTTTGCTTCTCTCCTCATAATAGGGTTCTTACCCCCTATATCAAGCAACGCTCATTCTATTGTCATATTTAGAACGGATACTCGCCAAAAATACTGTGTATACGTCATAAATCGGTATTCAGTTGACGTTGCCAGAGCGTCAATGGGCTAAAGTGAGAGTGTGACGTTATTACTGATGACGTCATATTGGCGACAGTTAGTATTGACCTAGATTTGTCCGTGTTTAAAATAGAAAGTGTTTTAAATATGATTAAGACTGCTTATTATTTAAGTACTAGCTTAGACTTCAAGTGAAATTAATGAAATTTTAAGTCTATTCTAGAGATTTTTTTCCTCACCTTCTTTGAATTGTTTCAACATGACATCCAATGTGATATCCTCGAAGACGAAGTTGCAAGGGTTCTGATAGTACTGGCAGAGGGTCTTCAGCGGCGTGTTGTCATCAGGGTCCACGAACGCGAGGTCTTTGATGAACAGCACAGTAACAATGTTACCTCTGTTACCTTCGTATACCGGGATACGGGAGTAACCTGAAAGACAGATGTTTTTTTTTATAATAGTATACTTTTGTTAATTTACTATTTCCTTTAACCATTCCAACTAAGCTATAGGTTTGTGCTAGGATATGGTTTACAATAGTCGAATGGTGGGATTCGAACCCTTGACCGCGAGATCGGTAATCCGTACCACAAACCATTGAAAGTCTTTTTATCTCACTCGTGTAACGAGCCCCTCAGTGGGGACGTATAGTGAGATGGTGATGAGTCGTATGTTTTGTCTCGTTCTTGTAACGTGTGTTGAAATGTTACAATCGATATAGTAGACACTGATATGGTGTCGTGTATCTCTTTTGTGTAAATAAGGAAAGAAAAAACCAATCTCACATCTTTTGTCTCTTTCGTGTAACGAATACTGTCAATGCAGTGCACTATTTTACATATTAAAGTCATATCTTTTGTCTCTTTCATAAAACTTCGCGCTTTCCACGTCACAGTACACTTAAAGACACAAAAAAACATATTCTTACCAGATTTGACGATCTCTGACATTGTCTCGAAGTCCAGTACACTAGTGATTGGCAGCATGTAGCAGTCTTTGAGCTTGGTCATCACATCTTTGACCGTCTTCTTCCGAAGGTCGAGAGCACCGGAGATAATATTCACTTCTTCTTTATCTAAATCGTTCACGTGGTTCGTTACCTGGAAGTAAGAGTTATAACTTCAAGATGGACGTCAATTTCATTCGAAATTAAACACGCATATGTATATGGGGTCTATTACGAAATGAGTGATAGTTTCTAGAATATTTGTTGGTGTTTTACGAACGATACAGGCTTTGTACAAATCTTATACAAATGTCGATCACGTTTCGAAAATATTCTCACGAATATTTGTGATAAACCCTCCGTATAGCCATTACTTAAGAGAGGGTGCACACCATTAACGAAGCTATCACACAACTGTGTGGTTGTCGATACAACTAAAAATCGAATAGTGTATTCACCTCCATATAAGCTCATAGGAATCAAAACGAGACTAAAAAGTTGTTCGATAGTTTAATCAAAGGTGTACGTACGCTCTAAGAATGCGTAAGCCCGCGACATATGACGTCATAGTACTTAAATCAAAACCAAAAATGTTAGGAAAATAGATATTCTCTTTTTAGTATGAATTTCATAGTATCGAGTACGTTTTTTTTTTCAATGAGCAATATTATTCATTGACACACAACGGGCGTATACTGAAACGAATTTTTAACACTTCAACTCGCTTTAACATTCCACCGATAGTATGTGTGCCCATTCAATTGTGAATAAAATTAAGAAAATAATAATAGAATGAATAAAAAAGTGTCAAATAGTCTAAGATATTGTCAAATCATAATTATTGACAATTTCATCTTTATTTTAATGTATTAAAATTTTGGTATCTGTATATTTCTTAACCTTGTTACGTCTGAAATGCGAATAATCCGTGCGAAATTGTCGACTGGAGTCAGTTTTGTGGATATTTTTATAAACTGGAGGTTAATTCGGTTGTCGGCGGTCGGCGGAGTGCCAAGTCTCCAACGGTGTCTCGTAATTAACTAGGAGTCACTTTTAAATTAGATGATTTTTTTTAATTACATCATAATTATTGTTTGTATTAATATGTTGCAAACATTCAATTCTACTTTTAAAAACAATATTCATCCGTTTTTTTTTATTAATAATTATTTTAAATTACTTCGTAATATAATATAACATCCGTTATGCAAATCGCTAGAGAATCGTTTGAAATTGAGAGGAAAGAAATATCGTTTGAGAGTTCTTTTTATGTATAGAACATTTGAAATTTTGAAATCGATAATCGAGTTAATGATTCTCTCAGTCATTCTCAGGATTTCTAGAATTGGATAGCATGGTCACACACACATCACATTGTAAATCATAAAATTGTGACTTACTACAGTTTACATAGGAGCCTTTGTTTACGATGTCACCTACCTTGACCAACTCCTTTAGTCTTTCTCTGTTATAGTGCGTACCAATCTCTTCTCCTAGGAAGTAATCTAGGAGTTTACTAGTAGGCCATGCTAGGGGCGCACATATACCCATAACAATCTAAAAACAAACACAATAATTATTTATATAAAAAACCCTATACAGTCAACTTCATACTTAATATTATAAATGCGAAATTATAGATGGATGGATGTTTGTTAGAGTTTGTAGCCTAAACTGATGGATAGATTTCGATGAAATTTGGTACACTTGTAGAGGATAGCCTGGAAGAACACATAGGCTACTCACTTTTTTTAATTCCACGCGGACGGAGTCGCAGGCGAAAGCTAGTACATTATAATTTTACCCTAAAATCTTTCTAAACGGATTAATAATATTTAAAGTACTAAGGTTTGTATTAAAAATATTCGATACTAATGAATTGACCCAGTTTCGCCTGGATTAAAAATACTATATTTATTAATGTTTTTTAACCTTTTTTTCTAATAAAATATATTCTATGTCACTCATTGGTAACGTAGCTTTCTAATGATGAAAGAGTTTTCGAAATCAGTTTAGTAGTTTCGGAGTCTATTGCAAACAAAGTATTAAAAACTTTCCTCTTTAATAGTATAGATAGAATATAGATGATATTTTCACTAATAATAATCAAACACGTAAAATCAATAATACAGAGATCGATTATTTACTTCAGTTGAAGAATATTATACAATTTTGCCAAAAAATCAAAATCTATACCGATGTTATAAATGTTAGCTATTTAACTATTTTGATGTATTCTGTATTCTTGAAGGTTATTAGTCTGTGCTATAAATCAATATCATTTGTCATAATTTGAAATAACGATATAAGCTTTGTAATTGTCCAAAACATTATTTAAAATATTTATGACATGGTTTTAAAATGTCGTAATTGTGCTTATGTTAATAATCGGATACTAGTCGGATGTCAAAACAAGGGTGTTGCATTAGTTCGACGACACGACGGCCATATTGGTAAGGTTATTCTGTGCAAATTGGAAGAAAACATAAGAGGCAATGAAGATTATATTTTATTAAAGCATAACATGGCTGTGACGCCCATATAAAGAGGATAGATTTGCATGTATAGCCGACGGTTCTGTTGTGTTCCTTGATCCCGGAACCTTCAACTGTCACTTGTTGATGGCCACCAAGGGGATTTTGGGTCAAATCCTACATAACCCTGCCTTCCTTTTGCGGGCGAGGTATCTTTGGAATATTCCCTTTCAAACGCCAAAAAAAAAATGATTAGTACGATTTGAAATACTGAGCAGATTTGAAAAATTCTTTTACCATTAGAAAGCTACGTCATCGCTGAATAACATAATCTACATTTTTAAATTTTATGTGCACAAAGTCGCGAGCAACAGCTAGTAATAAACTTACCTTCATAATCCAAATACTCTTCGCACCAATAAGCAATCCATGTCTCGCACAAATAGCTTGCGGGGTAATTTCAGCTATAAACACGATCGCTAGAGTTGACCCTATAACCGCTACCACACCCGACGTCAAATCATCCAAAATTACCGTAAACGTACTGTTCACAGCTACATTACTCAATAAAATTGTACAAAGAAGATAATTCCCATGAGCACGAACAGGCATTATAGCGCGAGCATATTTCCTTTCTTTCTCAGTTCCTGTATTCGCAATGATTTTCAATTCAGTTCTGTCTAAAGCCATAAGACCAAGGTTAAGACCGGAGAAGAGGGACGCCAGCATCAAGAGGATGACGATAAGAATCAAAGACGCCCAAAGAGGGAGCAGTTTATCGTGAACTGCTAGAATCTTCCATCGTTCACTACCTTGGTGGTAGAAGGAGCCGTTGGCATTTCTAGCACAGATATAGAATCGGTTGTCTTCGGATAATGCTGGTGCTATCAATTCAAACAGTGCTGAATCTTCTGTTATCTCCTTAACCTGGTGGACAGATTTCAATATTAATTTGTTAATTGTTCAAGAGCCCATACCTTTAACTAAACTAACGCAAATCTGTTTCTCGCTTTGATTCCTATGTGCTTATATGGTGAACACTACTCGATATTTAAGTGTGCAACTAAACAGTTGAATGGGTGCGAAACAATCGACAATCGCAAAACAGTTGTGTGATAGTTTTGCCAAAGGTGTGCGCCCAATCTTAATATAACCTGTGAAGGCAAAACATTAACTAACAGTCCAACTGTTAACATTTTACCTACAAAATGTGACTGACAGGTTTTAATGGATAAAAAAACATACAGACGAATTGAGTACCTCCTTCTTTTGGGTAGTCGGTTAAAGAACAAAAAGCCAGTGAAGTATAAATTCTCACGTCCATCCGATGTATGATTTTTTTTGTGACTGAATGGCCACTGTTTGCCTAGAAAAGGCATTTACAGATGGCGCTTAGCCTAAACCTCGTTTATGAGGAATTCCAATATATGAGTTTTTTTCCGATGTAATATACCCCTTGACACTTCGGAGAAGAATACGAGTCAAATGACACCTCATTTGTCAAAATCTGAACAGTCTTTTAGATTGTAGGCCGTTACAACGGAATTTACATACTTAAAAATGCAACATACATCGTACCGTCTTTGTCAATCACACTAATCATACTAATATAATAAATGCGAAAGTTTAGATGGATGGATGTTTGTTAGAGTTTGTAGTCTTAACGGCTGAACAGATTTCGATGAAAATTGGTAGATACGTAGAGGATAGTCTGGAAGAACACATAGAGTGCTCACTTTTGTTTTTTTTTTTATTTCCACGCGAATGACGTCGCTGGCGAAAACTAGTGATACTTATAAATGCGAAAGTTTAGATAGATGTTTGTTAGACTTTGTAGCCTAAATGGCTCTATGGATCTGGATGAAATTTAGCACAGATGTAGAACATAGTCTGGAGGAACACATAGGCTCTTGGTTTTGTGTTTTTTTTTCTTAACTCCACGCGGATGGAGTTGCGAGCGATAGCTAGTTGGGTGTAAACCTTACCTTATGTTCTCCGGGCAGAAGAAACACACATTGTGTTCCATAATCCGCTGGTATATGAGTGAAGGCAATTTCTGTGCTCTCAGTAAATCCTTCCCCAAACAATCTTACAGTAAACAGATATTCTCTCAAAACACTTGGTAAACCATCTACTATTTTAGGCTTCTCTCCTTCTTCCACTCTTAAACCCATTACTTTCACGTTACCATTGGTAAACACTTTAGCTCCTAGACTACCTGTTACCACAGACGCATTATCTAAGGTAACATCCCCTTTATCCAATTCAGTTGTATTATCTGTTTCAATTTGACGTTTAATTCTTATTTTATCCGTATTCGTTGGATATGCGAATGTTTCAATAATGAGATCGCTCTGTTCAACACCGTGTCGGTTGACGTCCAAATCATCGAGATATTTGATATCATCGAATACTTCCAGTTTAGCGTCTGTCAGCTTTTTGTCAACATTGTCAATGTCGACCTCATTGTCGTCATCGCTTTCGATTTCTGATCTGTAACAAGACACAATTGTTAGTAACTGTTTATTACTAGCTACTGCTCGCGACTTCGTCCACATGGAATTAAAAAAATTAAAACATATAACCTATGTTACACAGACATAAAGTAGCTTTTGAATAGTTAAAGAATTTTAGAAATCTGCCTAGTAGTTTTTGAGTTATTTCTATGCATACAAAAAGACAAAAATACCAATTTTTCCTCTTTATAATATTAGTATAGATATGGCTACCCTTATAGCGCGCACACCTTTGACTAAGCTAGGGATTGTCGATTGTTTCGCAGCAACTGTTTAGTTGTACAACTAAAAATCGAGTATTGTGCGCACCATATAAGCTCATAAGAATCAAAGAGCGACTAAACAGTTGTGCGCTATTTTAGTCGAGGACATATATTTCCTATCCATTTCCTTTTCAAATCATTTGATAGTCATAAAGCTATCACCGACATGGATATCTAACCCCGAGGAGACAAATTGAACTAAATTAGGATAGTCTGACAAAATATGTCATAAACCCCTTTTTGTTCTGTAGTCATGTATTTTAACTTTTATGGCTATATTTGACATATTTTCAGAATCGAAAGCAGTGCTTCTCTCACCGGATTTTCTTGTTTGACCACTTGTATTTCTTAAATACGTCATAGCAACATACGTGCAATATAGCTCGTGACAGTAGTCGATAAGTGGGTCGCGAATTAAATTCTTTGACTATAAATTCGAGAAAAACGTTATCTTCCTATCAGAAAAACATTAAAACATATTTTATAGATAATACCATCAATAAATTAAAATCTTTACTTCACTAAAATCGTAATAAACACGTAATTTTTATCGCATATACAATTTTTCAATGGACTATAACTTAAATATGTTTATCGTCACTAATATTATAAACAAGCTTTTACCCGCGACTTTGTTCGCGAATTAAAAAATAGTAAATCTACAGGTCTTGGGTTTGAATCCCGCTGTACCAATGTGATTTTCGATTTTTTCGAATTTTTATATGTACATAATTTACCCGACGTTCTTACGGTGAAGGAAAACATCATGATGGACATATCTGTGAAGAAATTCAAAGATATGTGTGAAGTCAACCAACCCGCTGTGGGCCAGCGTGGTTGACTATGGCCTAGTCACCCTTACTTAGGGTAGGCTCTGAGCCCGTCGGTGGGACGTTCAGTGAGCTGGTGATGATGAGATATTGTGTTCTTTCAGACAGTATTCTATATCTGTTCCATTCATCGAGATCCGTTAAGCATTTTTGGAAACATGTAGTCACAAACATCCATCCATCCATTATTCCAAAGTTTCGAATTTATATTAGTACACACAATATTGTCTTGACCTTTATATTAATACTAGCTGTAGCTCGCGACTTCGTCCGGGTGAATTAAAAAAAAGTAGCCGATGTGTTCTTTCAGTCTATCTAAATCTATGCGAAATTTAAACAAGATCCGTTCAGCCGTTTAGGCTACAAACTCTAACAAACATCAATCCATCTAAACTTTCGCATTTATAAAACACTAGCTTTCGCCCGCGACTCCGTCCGCGTGAAATTGAAATAATAAAAAAAAACGAGTAAGTAGCCTATGTGTTCCTCCAGACTATCCTGTACATCTGTACCAAATATCATTGAGATCCATTCAGCCGTTTAGGCTACAAACATCCATCCATCCATCTAAACTTTCGCATTTATAATACAGTAGACTCGATAAGTTAAAGTCCAAGGGAAACACAAAATATTTAAAGTTATAGAGGTTTTAAGTTATCAAGGGTATATTATAGATGTTTTGGGCTCTAATGGGAAGAGAACATATTATTTTTTGAAGTTATCGAGGTTCTACTGTATCAGTATGAAATAAAATTAAATCGCTCTAGTAAACAATAATTAATACAAGTGCTTACTTGGAATAAATAGGCCAATAGTACTTGACCGGGCGTTAAGCCAGTACTCCAATAATAAGATTAAATAAATATTTAACACTTACAAGGCATAAGATAATCTATATTACATCAACAACAACCTTAACTATTACTAACTAGCTGTTCCCGTGTGACATCATCTGCATGTAATTATGAAAATTATATTTTATTGTTTACATTTGTCAAATTATCAATTGCAAATGTCAAAATGATATGACATGATGACAACCTTGCTTCCTTAATGTTGGCAGCGACTTATGGTCTCTTTCCCACATTAGGGTTTTTATCCAAAATATTTACCCCCTAAGTTTAAAGGCGTTAAAATATATAGCCTAAAGCGTGACGTACGTGTAAGGCTTTTTATTAAAAAAAGAATTATTCAAAAATTTGCTGTAATTGCCGACATCTTAGGCAACAAAGAAGTGTGTGTTTACGCTTTATTGTAATAGTATAGAAGATAGTATAGATACATTAAAGTTTGTATGGAGGAATGTTATGTTATGTTATGTTATGATGTTACTATGCAATCCAATAGGATTGAACGATTCTCGATGTTTGTTAAAGATAAAAAACATTGCAAGAGATTATTTCTTTACTTATTTCTTTTTAAATTTCGCACGGATGCAATAGCGGGCATGAAAACAAAAATGAGTTATACATTCCGAAAAAAATTATTAAAGTTATTATTTACCAGCTGTTGCCCGCGACTTCAAAAAAATAGCCTATAACATGCCCGCCTATGTCAGCTAACCTTCAGTGAAAGTCCGGTCAAAATCGGTTCAATCGTTTTGGAGATTACCCGGAAAACGCGGCTTGCGGACAGACAGACAAAAAAAAATTTAAATGCGATTTTCGTTATCAGGCAACACAAATATCTACCCGAAATCTGGAATTTTTCCTTTGATATTACAAACAGACACTCCAATTTTATTATATGTATATATGCAAATACGATTTGATTATCCTGTCCTTGTTTTTATAGAACTATTTATGGGTAACGCAGTGAAAGTTTATATAATTTCGTAAAAAGGTCAAATCTGTTACCTCTATAGTTTACTATATCACGAAATGGGAGTGCCGAGTTTAATTTCTTTACACCATTAAGTAAAATGGACTCGGCAATTTCAGTCATTAATTACTTCATATCTCCAGCCCACTGGCACGCAGTGTCCTATATTTCAGCTAATAAATCAAGTTGTTTAAGGCCAAATACTAAAATGATGTCCATAGATGGATAAATCTACGACCGCTACCGTCAGTGCCAAAATGAATCAAATCATTTCCAAGCAATCGCCTATCTATTTATACGGATCATTGACTGTATTTTATTAGCGCTAAAATGGTGTAAATTCAATAGGTACAAAATTCCACAGCTTTGCTGCTGTCTGCAGCCTGTCCATGTATAAAAGTTAGTGGACGTAACTGTTAGAGCGTGCACACCTTGAGTAAACTATCGCACAACTGTTGTGCGATTGTCGATTGTTACGGAGCCTTTAACTGTTTAGTTGCCCAATTAAGAATCGAGTAGTTTCCATATAAGCTCATAGGAATCAGACGCGACTAAACGGTTGTGCGATAGTTTAGTCAAAGGTGTGCGCGCGCTCTAAGAATCTGACGTTAAAACATTAAGACCAAACTAAATTATAATTAGAATACGAGTATGAATTAGCGGAGGCAAAAAACACATTTCTTATGTTTTCGAATAACGCGAATTCGCAGATAGAATGGCTATGCTTTTAGACAAAAATTCCGGACATTTCTACGCTTTATTTGTTACGAGATGGTCCTGAATTTTACCCTGCGCTTAAAACAAATACAGAGCTGATTGCCGAATATGTAAATAATTGCCAATTTTTTAAAGTGCTAATCTAGACAGTGACTTTTAATAAGCGATATCGCTATTAAAATCGACTAAATATGTGCATTTTGGCATGGAAATAAATACCTCCAGCACGTGACTTATCAAAACATATTGTCACTTCCATACAATTTTAACCTCGCTCATTAAATATTTGTCCACGGTTTTTATGCAATATGGTAACTGTCCAACTTGGCAAAGAATCTTGAATAATAAATAATTTCGTGACGTTTCGGGACGCACAGCGGCCGCCATTTTGGCGCGACGCCAAGCGCACCCAGACAGCGTTTACCGGCACTAAAACGTAAAATGGCGGCAAAAAATGGCGCGAAACAACATCTGGGTTACGTTTATATTCCAGTTTATTACAATTACGCTAAGAGAGCTGTAAAATGAATCATGTTATAAAATGAGATACGATTTTTTACGACCAAGTCGATGAGTTACGTCTAGACAGGAATCTAAAGCAGACCAAGAAGTATTATAACGAATGAACTATATTCAAACAAGGATTTTAATTCCATTTTATCCCGCTGATATTACGGCAAATACTTTAAATTTATCTGTACTGTGCTCACTGGACTGGACCATAATGAAATGCAAAACAAACCATCACTCAAGGGCGGTTCCAGCTTTGGCGCCAGGAGGGGGGGGGGGGATACAGTCGTAGTCAAGTCAAGAGCTTGACAAAATATGCTTTGTCAAGCTCTTGGCCAATCAGCTCAGTAGAGGGTCATGTCCTCATCGTCTCGTCGCATAACATGTCCATACCACGCTAACCTTTTGCTTCTCAATTTCTCCACCACTGGCGCTACTTTCAAACTTCCTCTAATGTACACATTCTTACTTTATCCATTCTTGTCACACCACACATCCATCTTAACATACAGTTCCATACAATACGACACGTCTTATGATGGACTTGTAGATCTGTCCCTTAAGCTTAAGAAGCATGGGATAGTTATTGAGTAAAAATTAAAAAGTTGCAGCAAGTAATAACTTTTTAAAACTTGCCTGTTCCTGAACGAGAGGAAAAAGTAGATATTTAAACAAATATTTCCTCTTTATTTAATTAACATTGATAAAGATTATTATCTTAAGGTATTAACACTTTAAAATCTAGGTCTTAAGACCTAGATTTCAAACACTTGTACAGTACATTTATATACTTACTAGCTTTTGCCCACGACTTCGTACGCGTGATATTAGAAAAC